CCGTGCATGGACAAAGCTTTTTAAATCTCCCGAGACAAAATGGCCGCCTCGTGACAAAGGTCTTTATCGTGTTTTATTGTATAGCTCTATCTCTTTCACTTGTGAAAATTAAAATGAAAACGTTTCTTACGGCACCTTTTCTTCTTCCGGCATGCAAGCTTTTCGTACACCTATTATTTAAGTGTCAGTTGAAATTGTAAGGCCAAAAGCTCATGTCCATCAGGCTCATCAAATGATGGTAGCTGTTGCTATAGGTTCAGTATTTTTGGCAGGTGAAAAGTTTGTTGAAGTCCTTTCCGTTTGCAACTCATGGTGCTGGGTTCAGTCAGTTTTTGTTCCCAGAAATATTCATGGGATGGATGTTTTTTTATAGTCTGATGTGCTGAGTAAACACTAGAACTATATAGTGTCAAAAGTTTCGATTTACTTTTTTGCATTATTTCAGAGGCATTTTCTGTCAGTGTTGACGAACTTGCTGTGGATCATGACTGAAGAGCATTACCAGAGGTTCTTGAAGGAGTTTTCGAGCAACAAGGAACTGAAAGATTTCTTAATGAACGTGTTTGTAGTGTTCACTGAAATAGTCAAGCGTGGGATATTTCTTAAAGACTGGATAGTCATCATCGTCTTAGGGAACAGGTGGGAAAATTAACCATAATCATAATTTTTATCATTCGTTGCAAATTTTTCTTGCTTTTCATAGGCCGAGAGCCCACCACGTGAACTGAAAATAACTGCCTACAAATAATTGTAGGCTTGATTTCCGCTGTCTCCCGGGTGGATTGCGGGCTCATTATCCCGAACAGCAGCTGGTAATCAACCTATATCAATTGCTTTTCCTGAATTCTTGTCTTATTTTGAGTGAGTAAGTTGATCCGTCTCTTGTTCTCGTACAACTGTTAGCGCTTTTTCCCAATTGTTCTTAACGAGAAATATTCTGTTTTTAGCGTAATTTTAAGAGCCATTCAGAATTTTTCACAAGCCCTACTGGATAACTTTTCAGGAGAAGAGAACTTTGACTACCAGGTGAGCCATCTTGACACGCGTCTGAGGAAATATGGGATGAGAACGGTGTCACGTGGTTTCTCGGGTTGGAGGGCGGGCAAACAGCTGATGAAAATGGTCATTACAAGCAGTGTCGGTCGAGTTTATGTATTAGGGAGCTTAAGCAAAGACGTTTCTGAGCGACGCGCGTCAACCGGAAGTGAGGCCTTCTCCCTCTTCATATGCCTTGACGCTAAAAAATTTGTATTGCTAAGTTTCTTTGCTCTGATAAAGACGATTTACCGAAGAGTTTAAACCAAACCACTGCCCAATGATGCCAAAAGTCCACTTCCGGTTGACGTCCATCGCGACGCACGCACGTCAACCGCGACTCACGTCAACCGGAAGTGAAGCCTTCTCCCGTTTTATATGCCTTGATACTAAAAAATTTGTATTGCTAACTTTCTTTGCTCCGATAAAGACGATTTACCGACGAGTTTGAACCAAGCCACTGCCCAATGATGCGAAAAGTCCACTTCCGGTTGATGTCTGTCGCAGAAAAATGCTATTGCTTAAGCTCCCTATTATAGACAACAATAAAGAACTTGTAATGCCAAACACAGTAGCGCAAAATGTGGGTCAAAGTCATCAGTGTTTTGTTTTTGGATGAAACACGACCAGAGATATTCCGGCCACAAGGAAACAATGACTCAAACCTTGGCGGAACTCGATCTATGTAGTCTGAGTGCAAAATGTTTCTGATTTATTTCGCAGTTATGGAACAACTACTTCAACTTGTCGGTGTTCTTTCTTACGCAATCGCATCTTCAACTGGAGAGCTTCACCGAAGTGAAGAAACACAAGATCATCGACAGGTAAAATTGTCAATAACTCCTTCCTTTAGTAATTGTCATTGTTCCTCTTCTCTAATAGCAAAACACATGAGTTAATAGGCCTTTTTCAGCTAGTTTGAACTTTTTGAATTTAAATTTTTTTAAATTAAAATTAATGTTAAAACAGTTTGAAGATTTCGAACTTTGAACGATGCTCTTAACTCTTGAATTTATGTCAACCATCAACCACTCTCCCTTACAACGCGCATGATTTCACGTGAATTTTCAGCCAGGTTTTAGCCAATCACGGTCCAATTCGTGCTCGCGCGTAAGCTTGAACCTCGGTCGGCGTACTTTTCCAAAGGTTT